TGTGGAAAATGAAGGGGATTACTTTGATTAGGTTTATATTCGTTTTTTAATAATTTTACATTGAAACTCGGTAAAAAGTACCGAGAATTACTATAAGTTGTAGACCTAATAACATGTTTGAAGAAAAAAAAAAATTATAAATAAATCTTGTAAGTATGCTCAAATTTATATATTATAATTATGTTTCTTACATAATTTGTATTTTTAAATAGCAAAAATGTATGTATACAATTACATGTGTATAATCATACATGTAAAGTTCTATATACATACATATAAAATAAAGTAATCAGTCATGAACGTATTAAAAACCTGAATCTGAAACTAGTCACGTAAAAAATTGAGAATCTTGGGCATATGCCAAACTGTTTAAAATAAAATAATTTCTTTTAATATTTGATCATGGAATGGCATATAAAAAAATAAGGGTCGGAAGAGAAATGAAAGAGGATCGCAGAGGCATTGGCGAGATAATCCATCCTCGGCTCCTTGAGCGAGCGTTTGTTTTCCCTCGATTACTATCAAATAGAAGTGGAAGCGATATTTGTCGCCTACTCGGAAAGAAACTTTCGTCTTTTTCGTTCTCAAGAAAGCCCGGCGGCGCGACGTTCTGCAATCTCGAAAAGTCTCGGCGATTTTTCCTCACGTACTTTCAAGCTTAATCGTGTCTTAACTACTGTACATCTTCAAAAAATTTTAAGTCTTTTGTACAAAATCATATCTACGAGACAAGATTCATAATTTAAAAGTCTGTACAGTGCCGAAGGCCTTAATTTTTTAAATATTACTACAAATGTATGAGAGAGAAAAAACGACTAGTTACATAGAAATTAGTGTACAGATGGAAAATTTGTTTTGAATTGATATTTAATATTTCTCAGTGTTATATATAAAATAATACAAATTATGAATAAGTGAACAAATAATATAACAACTATGTAATCTTAAAATGTAAATTCTAAGATAATTAATTACACGCATTAAATGCTTCACGTAAATTTTTCTATTAGTTTAACAAAAAATAAATATATTAGAATGTAACACACAAATATTATATAAAATTTAACCTAAACAATTTAGTAATAAGTAGTAAGTGCATATTTCTTGAAATACAATTAACATTGTAATATCTTAAATTAACACGTATATTAACTTTTTAATTATTTTAAAATTTACGTGTTTAACCATTTTTTTCATGTTATTCGTTTCATTATTCATAAATTGTACCTTAATTCTAAAAGAAATTAAAGTAAATATTAATTTAATACAAAATATTTAAATAATCATATTATGTTAAATTAATATTTGGATATATAAAAAAGTTAACAAAATCTAAAATCAATATATATATAAAAGAAATAATTTTGTGTCATTTATGAGTTTGTCAATCTTCATTTAAAAGTGCTGTCTTTTTTTTATACAGGTATTTGACTAAGTATTTGATAATTTAAAAACCTCCAACAACTTTTACACTAATTTAATCTTTTTTAGAAGCATTTGTATTTTATTTCTGCTCCAGCACATTCAGGAGAGTAACCGTGCGTTTACAATAAAATTTTTTCAAAATTCACATTCGCGAAATACAATATTCTGGAATACGACGTCATGATCGATCGCGGAGTTTACTGAAATGCCAAAAACCGTATCTTGCGAGACTTCTCGATTCCAGTCGCTTTGGGAGCAATGCGCTTTATTACGGTTAAACAGGCTGACCGAGCAGTATATTACTGCAGGACGGCTCTGATTTATTGCTAGGCAAGTCTGCCAGCCCACTGCCCAATATCCATACCCGGTCCCATCGGCGAACAACGCCGGGGTCCCTATTCCCTCATCACCGTGTCGACGCATAGCTTTTCTCCTCGCCGACCGAAACTATTAATTCCCATCTCCCGCGGCGACCAACGCCGCATAATTCGATTCTACGGTATTACCGCACGACGACGGAACTGCGAGACGACGCGCGATTGCATTGTGGTGTGCACAAGCTGAGAGTTTCGAGCTTTACGCTCCGAAACCTTGAGTTCCAGAAGCGCCAAAAGTGAGCGTAATTTCGTCAAACTGTTCCGGCAGCCGTCCAACGGTCGCTCAATTTCGCGCAAAATGATTTATTTACCCTAAACTACGAAAAGTTATAATAATTTAGTTTTAACTAATCGAAAATTCTAGACTCAATTTTGCTAACTCTTTTTAACCAACTCAATTTTAACAATATTAAATAACAGAATTGGAAAAAGATGTTTTTTTTAGAATAAAATATATTTTTAAAACATGATTTTAATACTTCACATATATGCTTAAACAGTGTTATAAAAAAAGAACATATGTTAAAAACGAACAAGCATGTTTTAAAATAGCATATATAAAACATGATTTTTTATCGACCCTGTTAAATAATTTATAATTTTTGCCGAAATCAAGAATATTATTTTATTTATAATTTTATGTGCACAGTGCGATGCAATACAAAAAATGATCGAAGAATAAGAAATATATAATATATGTATTAAAATGTAGCAATCCATTGTATATTAAAGTACAAAATTAATATATATATATTATATTAAAATATCCGACATAAAAAGAATTATATATAAATAAAAATACTATTTTAAGATAGAGATATCAAATTTTAAGGTAGAGATTTTCATGTGACGAAGGTCTCATCAAAATCTTTCATATATGATTAGAATAAAAAATTGTATAAATTATTAAGAAATTTGGAGCGAAGATAATTTTGCGCCAGCACGTGTTGATAAACAAAATTTTTTTATTTTTATTACTTACAACTGTTATAAATCGATTTGAAATATTGTTATTAAATACAAAAAATTAAGAAACACTTCCTTTTATATATGCAAAGGTATAATCTTTTATATTATTGACCCAATTCGAAATTTTAATAGTAAAACACTTTTTCAAAACAATGAGGATGGAAGTATTTTCAAAATATTATGTTTTTAAAGAATCTAACTTTACAGTTATAAAATATATGAAAATTAAAATTGTTATCTCGATTGTCATATTTATTCAAAGTTTCGTATATTTTCTTCTCAAATTTACGGATTTTATCGAATTTTCTTTGTTAAATAATTCCCGCTGTTCTGAATACGCGCGAATGCGGCATCGATATCCGCAGATGCTTGAAACCGAATTCGCGCGGAAACAAGAGAAGCCGCAGTAACTGACAGGAGCCGCGCCATGAAATTGCCGCGAGATCAAGACTTAAACGTCGGAGCAGGTCGATAGGCGGGCTGCTGAGCGCCGTTATATTACCCGGTATGCCCCATTTACCCCGATAGCTACGAATACGTGCGCATTATAGCGCTGTTTTGAAACTCGTCCCGCGGTGGTCGCCCTCCACTTGGAAACGACAATCCCTTGCGATGTAACGACTCGCGTTCCTCCGGGAGCGTAGGCTATAACCACGCCAGAGACGAGGAGCGAGTTGGGTGAAGGATTAAGGGTGGAGTATAATAGGAATTTTACGAAACGAATATTGTATAGACTTCGTTGAATTTTTAGCATAGAAAATATACTCGATATTCCTCGCGGTTCTCATTGGGTTTTTTCTTTTTTTCGTGGAATAAATTTGAATTATAGACGCGACTATTCTTTGGTTAGAACTAGATGTGGTACATACTCTTTTCTCTTAATTATTTTAACTTACAATGCTGTTTCGTGCTATTAGCATTTATCACGTAGTTGTAACGGATTGATTGAAGAACCAGGAAAAGAGTGTCGGATACACTTAAGTAATTGATTTATTACTCAAATAATATTTGAACTACTAATACAAAATTAAGGTACAAATTAAAAAAACGGTAATACGAATATTTTATTCTTCTTAGAGCTTAATGAATTATTTGATAAATCCTTTTTATGTTAATTTTTTGAAAACTGATTCAAGCACATTTTTTATAATATTGCATTCCTATAAAAGAAAAGTATTTATGGTTTTGACACAATGCGAAAAATTATTCAGGAGAGAAAAAGGAAAATAGTAAATTATAAAGAGAGAGAAAGAAAGTTGACCATTTATCATGACAGTATTATATATATAGGTTTACTTTGAATTAATTTGTTTCGAGGTCTCTGGAAATAATGTAGATATAATAATTTTGTTAAGATGTCGTATGTTATCTCTAAAAACTATTTTTATTATGATTTGTCATTTTTCTTCGGAGTATTTGAATTCAACTTATATTCATTTTTCTGATTGACATATAGCCGATATAAGCCAATATACACTACTGACTACTCGACAAAAAATAGGGAACACTTTCAAACACGCTAAAAATTGGACAATATTCAGAACATCATATCTCGGTGAAAAATCATCGCAAAAAGTTTAAAAAACATTTTAAAGGTTGAAATCTCTACTTATGAAATCTCTAATTGAAATTTTAATATGACTGATCCTTTATGGAGTTATACGGACATAAATAAATATCCGTAAAATTTGAAAATTTTGCACAAACTTTACAGCAAGGTATGTGGCGTGAAAAGTAAAAATTACACGAAACTGCGGTTTGCAGCGAGAGTGAATCTTTATCTTCAATTTGCTTTTTTAATAAACATTGTACGATTTTTTTCACCGAGTTATCAAACGTTAAAGCAAAAATAATCACTTCAGCTTCACTTTAGAAATGTGACACAAAAAAATGTTTTTCAATCCTTATATTATATACGGATTACGTTTTAAATGTATTTATTTATATCGGATATGTCAATCAGGAAAATAAAAAAAAGCATAAATAAAATTCAAATACTTCGTAAAGAAAAAATAATATAAATTGCTATTGATTCCAAGAATGGGGTTGCAGCGATAAACGGGAAATGGCTACTGCTGTTATTGTTTTTTTCTTTTCCCAAGCGATATGCAAGTTGCAACATTTAAAAATAGCACATTTGAAATGTGCAACATTGCGAATGCATAAATGAACGACGGACGCTTCCTTATTCTTAATGACCATTTAAATCGAATCTTCGTCTTGTTTCAGGATCTCTGCACCATTCCAAGTGGTCGCCGCGATCCTGATCCTCGCCGCAACGGTGTCGGCTATGATAGGCCATTGTTATTCCGATCATAGGACCCTCGTAGCCTGCGGACTTTTTCTTCTAAGCGGTAAATACGTTATCAAACTTTCCATATAACCATGTATTTATTTTTTAATTCTGCATTGAGTTTCTTTTTCATATAAATAGTGTTAGAAGTTTCTATTTGTTCATGCAATTGTTATTTTAATAAGATTTTAAATTAAAGTATTTATTAATGATTTTAATTGAAAGAGGATAAAGAACAGATAAAGGGTGCGTTCCATTGACGCTAGCAACACTCATGAAATTATTTTATCCTTGTTACTTATCAAATATTAAATAACGACAAATAATACTCACGAACATTATAAGCGCCAAATGGAAAGCACCCAAAGTAATTCCTCGAAAATTAATTCCTTTTGGGATTTTATGAAAAATTTTTTAATATCTGATTGAATTGATTAACAAAATTACAAAAACTTATTGAAACAAAATTTCACAAATCTGGAGACACGGTAGTGTCTCGGCGCTAAGCCAAGCGCGCGACACTGCCGTGCCTCCTTTACGCGACACGGAGAATTTTCGATAAATCATTACTCTTTGCTCTGTTTAAAAATCTTATTATAATTTAAATATGTTTCAATATTTAATTTTAAGCATTGAATAATGATTGAAATTTAAATTGTAATAAATGACATCTGGATACGAATTTACAGCAATTGAATTTCCGACTTGTGGATATTTGAGAAAATTGATTTTGATCAATATGTAATTTTGAATGAATAACATTTTGTTTTTTCGAAAATTTAATTTTATCAATTGATTGGTTAGAACATTTTACATTGAAAAATATAGGTCTGACTTTTATTTAATTTTTAACTTTTAGAAGATGTAAGACATTAAAAACGTCTGGTATGAATTTGTATCCAGGTGTTCTTACGAATACTCAAAAGGAATGTCTCTTACGGGTTAATAAATGATTACAATTGAAAGGACAGCTAAAGTAATTAATCTAAAATTTTATGTATTTATATCTCTTCTACCCCATTAGTATTTTATGAAAAAACTTAAAAGTAAAATGTGATATAATTAATTAAAGAATGTGCAAAAATAACTCATCAAAAACGAAACTTCTTACAAACAAATTATTTTTTGTTTTGTTTAAAAATCTTTGGGCGCACAAATATTTTATACACTCAGAATCTTTTGATACTTGATTAATTAATATATAAAAGATCACAGAGGGAGTTATTCACTAATTTACGTTAAAAATGACGTTCTATATGCAGCAATGAATAATCGGATAGTTTTTAAATTTAATCCAAACGCTAGAATTGACTATCCATGCGTTTGTCCAAGAAAAAATTCCTTTTTTTTTAGTCTTTTTTGTTTTTAAATTAAATATGGGGAAGAATCTCATTTAATTAAAGACTTTTGGCATTTTTAATTAAAGTTTAAAGTACATTGCTATATTTGAATAAATGTAGTAATTATAAATTGCTATATTTGAGATATTTTTCAATTAAGAATAAATTTTTGAATTTTTAGAAATCGAGAAAATATTATATTAAGTGTGAATAAGTTATAATATAATAAATTACGTTTTATTACTTTGATTACGCGACTTTTGTTTGAGTTTGTTTGTTTTCTCACCATCAATTATGTTCAGTTTTAAATGTTAAACATTTCTATCGGTCTTGTAATAACAATCCATTATATGGAAACGTGTTGGATAGCTCGTGATTTGCCTTTATATTCTCGATAACTCAATTCTCGAGGATGATGTCTCTATTCACAGTGAGATGCACACGTTCGTACTGCAAAAGGGGTGGAAATGATCTATCTGCCTTTGCGGTTATAGGGATCCTGCGGATTATAGCTAAAATCGGGATGCGCAGCGATCTAAACGCGTCGCCAAGAAATGCGACACCTTCCCCATTTCCAATCTTTTCAGAACGTCGCCACGGTTCTCTTTTTCTCCCTCTTCTCTTGTATATTTTACCTTTTTCCTTTTCCTCATCCGACAGGTGAGTCGATATCACTAGCATGATTCAAATGAAATTCGGGTAAAAATGACATGAGAATCGAATGGACGATAAGAAAAGGTGTAGAAGAAATCAATTTGTACTTTATGACGATATCATCGACATAGAGTTTAAATTGATTTTTTTCTGCGGCGCAAGAGAAGAGATGAGAGAACTTCACACATACTCGTATACATACACACACAATTTTAATAAAAATCACCCGTGATTATGTCATCATTGTTAATAAAGAATAACATTGCATATATTGATATATTTAAAGGTTAAAGTAGCGTCGCATGGACAATGTCATTTTCTTCTTCCCAGAAAGCCAAGCGGGAAAACATTATTTTTAAATATTAGGAACATTTTTATGCAATCTTTTTTTCATGTCCAACATGGCATTAATTGTACGCTTGAAACATTTACAATACTTTAACTCTAATTTCGAATAAATTAATATCATATACTATATAAATATAATATTCTTATTTAAAAAATGAAACTTATCTTACACTTTATTGAATAATAGCAGTTTATTCTTTTATTCGTTTTTTTACTATTTCTTATTTATTTTTTTTTACGAGAAATCATTATTATCACGCTAATTATGTATATTACAAATGAAGCATCTCGATATAATCTTAGTTTAGCTTTCTTTGATAGGAATTAAAAGACTCGAGAAAAAACCTCAAAAGACTTTAATTAAAATTTTGTCAGTATTGCCGTTCAAATTCACGCATTAATATAAAAGTGTAATTAGAAATTTTATGCAAACTATAGCGCAAATCATTAAATTATACCATCAAAACATTAAAAATATTAGACGCTTTTATGTTTTCCGCTCCGACCGTAGATTACGAGAAGTAAGAAGAGAAAAAGAGCGAGAAAGAGGGAGGGAGAGAGAGGGGGGGGGGGAGAGAGAGAGAAAGAGAATTTATTGTACATTTTTTACATTAGTAATTGCTATTTTCTTCAAGAGAACTTTATAATATGAGGTACTTAAGGAAAATTTCAAACGAGCGAGCTTCGCGTCGTGGCGATATTTCCAAAGGCTTTTTAATACTGTCAAGGAGGATAAAAAGCGTGTTCTTTAATAAAAAGAAGTTTGTCTGTGCAACAATCTCGCAAAATGTCTCATATAAAACTGTCACGAATAAAACTGAGAATTGATTTTTGAGAAAACTTGATTTCTAGGTCGATTTGATGGAAATAGGACAAGCCCTGTTATGAATAAATCAAGTGCAACAGTTGTAAAAATTATTCTCTCCTACTTTCTCTCCATTTTCTGTTGTATCAAGGTTGATAAAAATCATGTTTTATACATGTTTTAAACGTTCTGTTATATAATATTATTCATAAGACATAATTTAAAACATTAAAAATATGTATCGATGAGAAATATGCCATAACGGTCAAGCTGAATCTTGGATGCTTCTAATAACATAATTTCATGTGAATTTATATACTACGCATGTAGATTCTTAAATACGCGCCGAAAAATTTTTTTTTAGACTTACAACGAAAATTAATAAACTACCACAGTACTATCACGAGTTAAATTGACTAAAGATTTAACAATTTTGATGCTCATAGCATCTTGGATCTTAATAATGTTGAATAACATATTAAAATCTATGAATAACATATTCAAAATCTGTAAATAATTAATTTATATTGCGAAAAATATTACCTTGGCCTCCTGTTGAACGGATTGCCAGATGTCCGAGTTCGACTTCCGGCCGAGGTAATATTTTTCGCAATATAAATTAATTATTCACAGATTTTTAATATGTCATTCATAGATTGACCGTTACATGTTTTTCTCATCGGTATTTATTAGTTTTAAGTCTCACAGTTCAATAAGATTTGATATTAAAAATATGTTTGAAAAAAAAAATACAATGTTCTATTTAAAAAAAAGAACATCATTTCTTATCAATCCTGTTTCGTATACACATCACATTTATGACATATGTATAATAATACTAGTATAAGTCATCTTATATAGATTTAAGAAAAACAGTTATAATTCAATTTTGATTTTGATAAAACCAAAATTTTCTTGCTACCAAAGATCGTTTTTAATCACTCATTATACGTATACTATACTACTTATATATACCCAAAGAAATAATGGTTACAATTATAACTGTCTGTCGAATTATACACAAAATAATATAAAATGAGAGCATAAGATATACGAATAGAAGAATATATCATTGAGAGAAAATTATTTTCCAAAGATGTTTTTCTACACTGATGAGGAAAATTATTTGCCAACAATTAAAAGTACAATATATGTCATGATTAAATGCATCAAAATTAAGCAAAATTTCTAATTATCATAATAGAACTAGAAATTTTACAATCAAAACGTTTGATAGATTTTATTACGTCAACTTATTATTGATTGATTGTAAATTTATAAAATTTCTAGTTATATTCAATAGTCGTTCTCCGCAACTAAAACACGGCATCGAAATAGACGTAGCGATTCAATATTTTGTAAAAATCACACAGAAATAAAAAAAACGCAATAATATGAGATTTTTACTATTCTCAAAATTATATTTGAAGATATAAAAATATAAATGAGACATGTATTTTCAATAATACAGTTTTTAATTATGTATAAAAATTAATTTAGGAAAAGTTAATAATTCCTGTCAGTTGTATGTGCCAAAACGTATTAAAGGCTTGAAATATTATTAGAAACATCAAAACTTATATCTCCCCCAGTGAAATATTATTATACGCATATACAGTATGTTAGTTAATCGTTACAATGGCTGTATTTAGCAGAGAAAAATAATCAGTTAAGCGCTTAATGATTCTTTAATAATATTGGTTCTTGTCTTTAGAGTTCTTTGCTGGATTTAAGTATAGGAACTAATCACATTAAAGAATCACTAAGCGCTCTAACTGATTAGTTTTCTTTACTAAACGCAGCCAATGGTTAAAGCTTGATTATCAAGAATCAATCAATAAGAAATTCTAATTAATTTTATAATAAAAAATTAATTATTTGATAATTCCCCAATAGGAATTCTGATTCGTCTGT